TATTATTTTATTTGAGAATGTATGGTTGAGATAAAGAGAAAAAAATTAATGTAATGAAATGAGAAAAAATGGGGATCAAACGGGGGGCAATATCTATAATCAAATAATTTTTATAATAAAAAAATGGATTTTTGAAGAGAGACGTCTTTCATTATTTAATACAACAAATTTCGTGGAGACCATGTCTTGGGTACATGTGAAAATGACACTATTTATTTGACAATGAATACTTGTAATAAAAATTGAAGGTTGATATTCAATTGTCATAAAAATTGAATTAAAAATTCAAAGCGCGCCTCACTACGAACGATTGCAAGATGCTGCTTACGCAATGCACTACGTCATTGATGACGTCATTTAAACCTGTTCCTTATAAATCATTTTCACAGGTTTCATATTTACAAATCACTCCTTCAAAAGTTGCGATTAAGTCAAATGAGTACCATCCATCAATAATGTCTTGCGTCATTATCCAATTCCATGGAAGTATGAAAGATCGATTCATAATATTAATACGTGCTTCCAATATTAGGAGCATGTCTGGTAAAGCTTAAAATACAATTAAAATTGAAAATATAGCAGTTATTGAGTTTCACTTGTCTAATCTAAGTCAACAATAACGACTATTTTTTCACTTTTAATCAGATTTTAATCCATACCGAACACGTCCTAGGCATGACCAAGTGTTGATTTAGGAGATTTACGCTGGGTTATGTAGTCTCTTCTAAATGTGGTGAAAAAAATATGATTTAACCCACTACAATGCACTTTTCTAGTCCTTTTTATAAAAATAGTAATAATAATTTTCTAATTCTATTCCTACGTGAGTTCACAAACATGGTATGCAAAAAAAAAAGTCCCTTTATTTATTATTTTTATTAAGAATGACGTTATTTAGTGCCACGAGTGTTATAATATCAGTTTAAATGACACTAAGTAGTAAGTATCATTAAATGAAAGATACAATCAAATAAATTGCATAATTTTAGTTTGGAAAATGCTACTCTTATAGTTATGCTTCACAGTCCATTACACAGTCTTTCAAATTTGCTGACATGGCACGGATCCGGCCCAGCAACAAAAAAAAAGACCCGGCCTAGATTTCTCCCCTTATCAGCAATTTCGCACTTCCTCAGCTCCAAGACAAAAGCCCCAAATTCCAAACTCCCCCCCAATCTCCCCCTCAAGCTTCCCGTCAATTCCAGCCATCGAAGAGTGCCCACCCGTCCTGTCCAGCAGCCGTGGTCTCCCCAGCCGAAGACCTTGAAGCTCCCCGATCATTTAATTGCTGCAGCCGTCATCTTGTTGAGCACCATTTGGAGCAGGAAGTGAGAGTCCAGGTCGTTTTGTTGAGCACCATTTAGAGCATTGGAGTTGGTATTTCCCTTCCTTTTTTGGGCATCTTTTCTAGCACCATTTTTCCTTCTTTGTCAAGCTTTATTTCCTGCTTGGGGCGGTCAAACTGGTGGGATAAAATGTCGTCTGATTTTGCTGTATAATGTAGAATTGTTTTCCAAGAATGATCGGGTATGAGTTGTGTGTTGTAGATAAATTGGTTGACGACAACATTCTTAAACTTACCACTAGACAACAAATGTTGCATAGAATTTACAAAGCAAAATGGACAAGGGAAAATGGAATTTACATTATAGGGTTCGATTAATCATGTGTGTGGTTGCTTTCTCTTTTGTTATGCTGAATAAGTAAAATCACATTTGTAATGGCTTTCTCATTTGCAGTTTTATTTGAACATTGCACATAAATCTTTCTTTGAATGGGGGAAAATAAATTTTGCAAGTTGAGCATTCTAAGTTAGTTATTAACAATGAATATGTCTTACATTGATGTAGGAAAATGCACAATGGAAGTATTGGATGATGAAGTATGTGTA